CATGTTCCATTTTATAGGTCCTGAGCCTGAGGCTCAGAGAGTTCACGAACTTGCCAGAAGGTCACATAGCCACTAAGTGGTGGGCTGGGACTTGAACTTGGAGCTCACACACTTTCCACTGTTTAACACTGCTTCTTCATAAGGGGCAGGGGCAGTCAGAAGCAGAGCAGGCCCCTCAGCAGGGATGGGGGCAAGGCCTGTGTTTTCACTTATGCCTCAGTTTCCATAAAAGAAACTGAAGAGATGGCCTTCTCTTTCTTCAGGAGAAGCTGGGACCACTCTGAAGCGTTACCTAGAAGCACCTTGAACTATAATCCTGGAGCATCATCCTCTATGCCCCAGCCCCCAAATCAGGTAGCCCACCAAGCATGCTCTCCACTGTCCCCAGCTTCATGCTCTGTGGCCAAGCCCCTCTACTAACCAGCCCAGATAAAGCCCTTTCAGCTTGAATCCTTAGGAGGGCACTGGTGGGCATGGGGGTAGGGCAGAGACCTGAAAGCTGCCTTTTGAGTCTGGCCAGTGTCACCCTCTATTCAAGGTGATGCCCACCCACCTCCATGCAGGTGCCCAGACGCAGAGAGAAAGTAGACAATGTCTGGACAGAAGAGTCCTGGAACCAGTTTCTGCAAGAACTAGAGACTGGGCAGAGGGTAAGTGTTGGTCTTATCCTCTGGGAGTCGATGCACCCCCTCAGCTGGTGCATTTTGGAAAGCGAGTTCACCCCCTCTGATACACCCTTTCCACCCTTCAGCCCAAAAAACCGCTGGTGGACGACCCTGTTGAGAAGCCCTCCCAGCCCATCGAGGTGAGTGCTGCAGGGTAGGCCGTGTTGTGGGGCAGAGAACAGCAATGTTGGGGATGAATGAGGAAGATTCTGGGCTGCATGGGCCCTGGTGACCATGGGCAAAGGCCGTGGACCAAAAGCTCTGACCCTTTCCAGTCCCATTAGGTCTACTTCTGTATTCCCAGCATCTGGACAGTGCCTGGCATACAGTAGGTGCTCAATAATCACGTGTTGAATAAATATGTGTTGACTAAAGCAGGAGCAGAGAAGGGAGTGGTCCGTGTAGACTGGAATTCTCAGGAAGTATTCGTGGAAGTGGAGCTGGGCTCTAAAGAGAGAGGGGCGCTCTGGGGGACAAGACACATGGCAGAGCTGGGGGAGCAGCGGGGAGGAGCCGGGCGTGGGTGTGTCACACTCGGGCCACTGGGATGCGGGGTGGGCGGCCTGGGTAGGAACCGTGAAGCCAGGCTTGGAGGCCACAGAAGACAATGGGAGGGAAAACGGGAGCCCTGTAGGCTCTTGAACAGAGAAGTGACATGACAGAAAATGGGAGGAAAGGCTGTCATGGGAGTGCAGGGGGTGAGCTGGGTCCGGAGGGAAGGGTCGGTGAGAGGCGGTGGCAGGGATGCCCTTCCTGAGCCACACCTCCCTGCTGGGCCACAGGCAGGGAGCCGTCCTGTCCCATGCGTGATCTGAGGCCCGCCCTCTACCCAAGCACGGTGTGCCTGTCCTGCTGCTCACGTCCGACTGTGACCACTCCCTACCCCCTCTCGGCCCCGCACTGCCCAAGCCTCTGCCCACCCCCAGGTCCTGCTGGAGAGAGAATTGGCCAAGCTGAGCGCCGAGCTGGACAAGGACCTGCGGGCGATTGAGACCCGGCTGCCGTCCCCCAAGGTACCCGCCTCCCAGGGTCCGGGGCTGGACCCCGAGCCTCAGCAGCTGGGCTGCGGCGACCTTGGGCAGACTTCAGCCCTGCCTGTCCGCCCCCTCCTCCGCAACACGCGGGGCGGTGACTTCTCCAAGTGACCCCTGGGGAGCCTTCCAGGCCGACTCCACGTCAGCCTGACGGCCGGGCGCCCGGGGCTCCCCGACCCCGCCT